TTAGGGGCTTAGCGTTCAAGTGTTCGTTTGCGCTCTTGCTCAACCCAGCGGTCGCTAGTATAGGGGCCTAAATCATTACCTATACTATTTGGGGGCTCCTTCTTGTCATTATAGTATAATGGCCCCAAAACCCTATCTACTAGGGCCCCTACATTAACTGCATGCAGGCCGGTCACGCTTTAGTGACTCAGCTCCTGATCGAGGTGTGCCTTGGGTGTTAGAGCTATGGACCCTAAATTTGGGAGTTTCCGAACATAAGGGGTACCTTTTTCGAGGGTCCTTAGAATAAGGGTCCTACTGTTTGGGGTATTATCTTAGGGTCCCCTGTTCAGAACCCCCCTAATTTCTCAAACCAAGCTATGTAGTTTAGTAGTTACTGGTGTTGCAGGAAGGAGTTCGTAGGCACGTTTTCTTGGTGCTCTTGAGCCTGTGGAGGGTTTAGGTTTCAGTACATCTGCGGCATCAAGGCGGCTCAGCGAGATTTTCTCGTTGGCTGTCAGGACATGACGTCCTGTAAAATCCCTTGTATGTCTAGCAAAAAGGAAATGTTGTTCCAGTAATCTCGGATTTATCGGGTTTACGCTCAAGGGCCTCTAGTTTAGGGCTATATGGCGTTTTGGTATTGTTCTTAGGTTTTGTAAGTTTGGGATTTCGGTATTGCGGGCTGATCTTACCCCCCCCAAATAATTTCTTTAAGATTTAGAAACAAAACTCATAATCATGAACCGTACATGCAACTCAGCCCCCCAAATATTTTTTTAAGGTTTAGAAACAAAACTCATAATCATGAACCGTACATGCAGCATTTATGGGTTCAGGGGGTTTAGGCATACATTGCAGTTGGAGAAGTCTCGATCCGAATTCGTTTATATATATATATATATAATGGTAGTAAAATATACTATAAGTTCTACAGTAACAATAATAATGATCATAATAGTAAATAAATAAACAGATAAATAGATAAACAAATGATGATGATAATAACAATATCTATTATATATACATGATACATAACAATGAGAATAGAAATAAACATAATCATAACCATAACAATGATAACAATGGTGATAACAATAATAGTGATAATAATAACATTAGTATATATATATATATATAGGTATGTATATATATATATATGTATGTATATGTGTATATATATATATATTATTGTATATATATATATATATGTAATAGATTAGTAAATGTTTTAATGATGTTATTTGTTGCTGTAGAGGCGCTGCGGTGTAAACTAATCAAAATATGAAATAACATATACTACGATATTGGATTATATGATATTTTATTGTAGCATATTATATCTATATATATATGTATATATATATATATATATATATTATGGAATTGTGTTCCAAAAGACCACCTGATTCCTGCTTATGATTTTGGGGCCTGCCACCAGCAGAATAATACATGGACCCTTGGGGGAAATTCGATTCGGGTCCTACGGCAGAGGTTGCTCTCTGGAGTTTAGGGGCTTTAGGGGTAATATAGGGGCCTAAATAATTACCTATTTGGGGCTTCCTTATTGTAACTAGAGTATAATATACCCCAAAACCCTATTCTGATTATTAAGGCCCCTACATTATTTAGGGTTTATAGCGTTTAGGGTGGTGTTTCACCGACTTTTCGGGATTTTGAGGCAAGCTTCACGGCTTATCGGCATTTGGGAAGCTGTGCGTTTCGGATCCAACGCCCGCGGTTCAAACGCGATTCGATAATGGGGTTTATGGTATAGTCGCATAGTAGTACAACCTGAAGAGAAAGCTGTGCAGGGTTTGAGTTTTCCGAGGAAGGGAGCAGTCAAGCCCTACATCCTAAAACCCTTTGGCCCTATAGGCCCACAAGTGAGCCCTCAATCTTACACCCTACATCCCAACCTGCAAATCCTACGGCACAAACTCCGAGCCTTTGTTTCAGAGCTCTCGCGCACCAGGTTCCAACGGCGCTGCTCCCAGACACGGGCGCGACGAGGACAGCTCTGTCTGCGAAGGGTGGACTCCAGTACTAAGATTCATGTTTAGGAGTTCGGGTTAAAGCAGTTTAGGGCTAGGGTTTAGGCCTAAAGCCTATAAACCCTAAACCCGGAAACACGAAGCCTAATGGGAAATCGGTTTAAGGGATTGTCCTGACATCGGCTGTAGCTAGCCGAACACTTCGGCAAAACACGGACCCAAACAGAAGCACAATGCTTCAGGAAGCTTCATCCCAATAAGGGCCTAAGTATCATGCAGTATGTACATGTATGTCAGTTAGTTGGCGATAAGATCGACTATCACTAATTATCATTCTTTGGGCGATCACCCTAAGCCCTAGACCTATGTAGGTTTTTAGTGCTGGACACGGGTCGACTGCCACCCTTTGAGCGATCAGGATTTAGGATGTAGCATTTAATACGTTTAATATATCTTTAATATAGGAGCCTTAATGATTAGACTAGGGTGTTGGCATGTTTTGGTGTATATTCTTAAACTTGGACTAGGGTTGTGGTAATATTTCCAGGTAGACTGGCAATGATTCCGACCCTTTTGTAGGGCTCTTGGGCTCAGGGTGTTAGCGAGAGCCCTTTTGGACTTAAGACACATCGAGGCCTGAATAATTCGCAACTAGGGTTTAGGGTTTAGGGTTTATGTCCCGGAGTAATTATGGTCCCTATATTAGTAGACGTTGCAGTGCACCCAAAATCCTAAACCCCAACCCTAAACTCTAAACCCTAACCCTAAGGCTCTAAGGATTCAAATTAATTTCTTTTGGGCCCAAAGACCATACCATAAAAGGCTTTTGGCTATTTTGCGCCTCAGGGCAACCCTAATTCCTACCTCTGTGTTAGAACCCGGCGGTTCTGAAGCCCATGACAGGCTCCACCTCGACCAGACTACAGAGAAGGCTCGAGAGTTCAGGTGTTTTTTGTGCTTAGTTGGGGTTTAGGGTTTAGGGATAGGGTTTAGGGTTTATAAGGTCTAGTCAAATAGTCAGTGGCTTTAGGGGCTGGGGTGTGGAGTTTGGTGATTAGTCTTGTGGTAGGACGACGACGACGACGACGACGACGACGACTTCGATTGCCGCAGCTGTTGCTGTCGCTACTGCTCATGACTCATGCCCCTGCTAACGCTCTTCGTCTTTTACTTGCTATGCTGCTACTGTTTAGGAGTCATGTCCTCACCTTCCTCTGCTCTGTACCCTAAGGGTCCGTGTGAACCTCTCGTGTGTTCTTTGGTGTGGATAGGGGGGCTCAAGTGCTGAAACCAATGATGTCTCCAGCAGCTGCCGAGTTGTTTATGGATTGATGCAGTGGTTGTTTGGTGTTGACTAGTGCATCGCTTGTTTTGTATAGAGATATTTTGTGTCTGGAGGTTTCTGTTTCTGTTCGTGCATGTTTATGGGTCTTTGTTGCACATCCTTGTTTGGTTCCATATATACCAACAGAGGTGCAGACTGCAGAAAGAAGGCATTGCATCACGGAGCTCACCCACAGAATCCAAGTTATTGTGTAGTATATACGTTTGGGGCCCGAATACCTACCAAGTAGCTACCATATTACTACTTGGACCCTTTGGGTCAGTTGTTCTGTTTTCACACACCCAGAGGGTCCGAGGACCCAAATAGTAAGTTTTTAAGGCCCAAGGTTTTTGGACCCTGAAACCCTACTATTTGGGTACTTGGACCCTTAGGGACAGGGAGCTGTGGACCGTGGAAACTCAGACCCAAAACGCACGGAACCGGATTGAGCTCCTGCAGGCAAGGGCGGTGGCGGTGGAGGAGGTAGAGGTGCAGCAGCTGGGTTTAGGGTTCAGGGTTTGGGGTTTTGGGTTTATAGGGCTGGGTTCTTTTCAGGATAGGTGCGAGCAGGATAGGCAGAGGACGCCTTGCCCTAGGCTGTCCGCTGCCGTTTCCTCCGTAGCCTTCGGGATTTGTGACATTGACCTGCTGCTGTCTTACATGGCTTGGTTTCTAGTCTTTGGTGGCCTTGCCGGTCCACGATGGATCTCAAAGCAGGTTATTCCACGGTAGTTTCGATCACGGCCAGCAGAAGGTTTTAAGCCCACGTAACTAAGAGTAAGTTTGCATCATCAGTACTAGCATCCTCGTCAAGTTCCTGTATTCGGATACTAGAAAGTGTAACTGCAAAGTCTTTTCTGCCTGTTACAATTTCCAACACCGATGTCGAAAAGCCCTGTAAAGCCCTGAACAAGCCGCACAAAATCCTACTCCAATCATTCAGATCCCCTGAGGATCCCTAAGCAGCGAAGAAAGGCCCCCCCATGTTACCAGATCACGCTCATCCGTACTCTTGCAGCTGTCTTTCCAGCTGCCCCTTCTTATGATGAAGAACTGGCGATTGATTTCGACACAGCAGTCAAGGCAATTCAAAGAACCACAGTGTTGGCAAGCGTTGCAACCGTCTGTCGCAGAGGCGAGTTGCTCAGAAGAAGGAAGAACGGCCATTCGGGCTTTAGTCTCACATCTCTCGGGGGGCATGGGGAAGTGCAGGATAGTGCTGAATATAGCCACAGACAAAAAGGGTCTCAGCGCCGACCTCGTAGATCTGTTGGCCCTTTAAACGTGCAACCTACATTATATGCACTTAGACCCCGGACCTTGGCAGGCGCCCGACCAAAAGTAGGCGGGTTGTGGTAATATAAATCCTGCATTACCTTAAGGGCCCTAAACTCTGGGATAGCTTGGTATATTCCTGAACTATGGATAATGCAGGATATACATCATCAACCGTTGTGTAAGGTAAGTCCTAGATGAGTGATGAGTGCTTGTGCCCGTGCTCTGTCATGTTTGGCTCAGATGGGAATTCCAGATGAGAGGCTCCTAAACCTTTCTAGAAGCAAGGACTATACAACTATATAGGTGGTTTAAGTTATACAGAAGTTATCCGCGATCCATCTTCGTATGACTTAAGGTGGGTTCCTGAAGTTCGGGTTTTGGGAGTCTCTGGGCACCATGCCTAGCCGGCCTAGCAGGAGCATGGCATGCCTCCACCACTGCAGGCATGGCGCGCCTTGGGCCAAATCTCTCAGGCGGCCAAGGCCTCAAACTGGCAGCTTTGCCTTCATCTCTGGCAACTCTTCCCGACGGCGAAGGTGGCAACTACTGCCCTTTCTGCCTGTGGCCGAGCACGCTACTGGAGACGCAGCTTGGCCATCTACCAAAGCCTCACAGATAGCCAGGACCTCTCTTCAGATCCCGTGCCGCTCAACGCGCTCTGCGCCGCACTGGCGCATGCAGTGCAGTGGTCGCGGGCCTTGCATCTTCTCGGCACCTCCGGGCATCCCTGGCGTAACAACGCGGTCTCTAGGTTCCTGAGTAGTACCCTTTTGCCCTTTTTATTTTGGGGTCTCCTTATTAAAACACAATATTAGGAAAATCCTTACCCTAGGCTTCCAGGGACCTCATTATTGGGTCCTTAAGGGGTCTAGGGCCCTAACTATAAGGTCCTTGGAAGCTCAGGGTTATTAAAACCCAATATTAGGAAAATCCTTATTAAAACCCAATATTAGGAAAAAGGGTACCCTCACTCAGGAACCTAGGTCTTGACTGCCTGCGGAAGGGCTTCGCACTGGACGCTCACCCTCCACCTTTTCTCGGGCATGAAGATGCGCAGGCTTGCAGATGCTTGCCAGATCTTAGTAGCTGAGTAGGTAACCCTTTAGCCTTTATGGGGCTTAGCGAACCGCATAGCCCAAAACCCTAAACCCCATAGGCCCAAATCCACCATAATGAAGAAGAGTTCACCTTTTCATGGCCTAATATACGGGCCCAGATAATTACCCAGACCATTTAGGGGGGTTGCTTATTATAATTATACTATAAAGGGGCCCAAAACCCTATTCTTATTAAGGCCCCGACACCCTAAACCCCTTGAAGTAGCCCTTATAGTATCCCTTTAAGGAGCCCTGTAAAGGAAGCCCCTAAGCCCTATTCTATCATTATTATGGCCCCTACATTAGGGTACTGCGCCGACTGAACCCCCAAGGATGCCACCAGCCTGAATTCTGCGGTCCATGCTTGCCAGCAAGCCGCCTACTGGCAGGCAAGGGTTCAGGGATTAGGGTTCAGGGTTTTAGGGTTTAGGGTTTAGGGTTCAAGGTTTGGGGTTCAGGGTTTAGGGTTAGGGTTCAGGGTTTAGGGTTAGGGTTCAGGGTTTAGGGTTTAGGGTTCGGGGTTTTAGGTTTAGTTTTGGGTTTAGGGGTGCGCCTACGTGCTATGCGATGGAAAGGTTTGAGGTCCGAGTACTTCCGTGATCCAGCACTTTAGGACAGATAGCTATAAGGTGACATACAGACAGAGACAGACAGACAGACAGACAGACAGACAGACAGACAGACAGACAGACAGACATGAATGCAAACATCCATGCATGCACGCAAGCATGCATGCGTACATACATGCATACAGATTGTTCGCTAAGTGC